TATTAATTCTTTTTGAAATTCTGTGCCTTGGTATCTTGTGAATACCAGAATAACCCATGGGCTCTACACTGATCTCCAAAGTATGCCCATTATTCACTGCTCAGTTCTGCATTATAGTTCGACAGAATAGAATTGAACTATTGCAATTCTGTAAGTTTATCCACCTATACCTTCTTTCTTGGAAGTTGAACCCAGAAGGTGATAGGCCTCAAGATTCTGCGTTATGAGCTGCTCAGAGTTGGTGCTGACTGGAATACAAGCCCAATAAAGTAAACAAAGGTACCATCTTTTCAGCCACATTCTGCAAAGCTTTCTCCATTCTTTACATCTGTTAGTTGCTATGTCAATGATATATTTTTAAACCGAGTTGACCTAAAAAGCGCGAGGGAATTCTTGTCCTTGCCTCTAGCTCAAGTGCCAGTACATTTCAGCCAGTAAGAGGGTGGTGTCCACTGCATTTAAAAAGCAGCACATTTAGTACCTGTAACAAGCAATGTGGCAGCCTATTGGGAAATGAACAGAGGTATCCCTATGTTTTCCTTCTGTTTTCTGAAGTTGTCATTGGGATGACTGCTGTTGGGTTATCCTTTCCACAAATAAAGAGAAAATATAGAAGAGGTCTTCCTGAATCCTTTATTAAGAGCAAAATTATAAATTTGCCAAACTGTGCAGCAGCATATGGGTTCAGGGAAGCTGAGGACTCAGCTGCCTCACAGCTTTCCATCAATATTAGGCTCCCTTTCTCTCAATATGAAGAACGCCTCTACTATACTCGGTAAAGCAACAACATCCTGAAAATGTAAATCTTCCTGTCATATTAAGAACACTGACGGTTTTCCTTTGTCAGAAACTTTGCATTCTGATTCTTTGAGTTCAGCACCACAGATGCAGTGTATCTGCTACAAATGGTTATGCTCACCAAAAATTAAGAGGGCCACAATCCAGGACTAGGTCCTAAGGATGTGGGACTGACAGGAGGAAACTGCTTGCCTCCAAAGACTATATTCCCAGCGCTATGGATGGTTCTGGCAGAAGTACCTGTTTCAATACTGTTTCCAGGGAGCTATCGGACTGCATCTCTTGGGGAAGGGATGCGTTTGAAACAATACGGGCATACAGATCCAAACTCAATCATAAATAATCAGAAGATGGAGCTAACTGCAGCCCATCAAATGTTCTGTGCCAAATTTGATCTTCTGGGTAGCTCAATATAATTGAATATATCCCAGACTCTTCCTGCTTTTCTTTCCACACAAGAGGAAGCTGCTTTACATTTATGCTTTCAAGAGAGATGTTTACATGCCTACTTTCTCTCTTGAAAATACCACTGCAGAGTGCGCATTTGGAAGAGACATATATAGAAAATTTTCCCACAAATGGAATACAAGTAGGCTAAAAAGAAAACTGGAGCAGAGCTATTTTTCTTCATGTGTAAATTTTTGACATAGAGGTATATATTTATTGCATGATAGAGCAATCAACTTTGTGAATCTTCATATGCATTCTGGAACAACCGTAGACATCTATTGCTTCAGTAAGAACCAGTTTAGAGTTCTCCTTTCCCCCTTTGAAGACTACAGAGATAATGCTCATCACTTCAGCAATTAATTTTAGTTATGTGGAATTGACATTCATGCTCACTTTACTATGTTTACATAGTACAAAAAGCAACTTTATGGATCTAGCAAGGTCAAGTCATGCTGCTGTTACAATTCAAAACTTTGCACATCAATGATATATCAAGCATGAGATTGCTGTTGTGGGAAAATAGGATGGAGGAAGAGTATTAGGTACATTTGCCATCTTCAGTTATTTATAAAGTAATAACGGTGGGATAAAAAAATCTAATAAATATTTTTAAGGAAAACTATGTTTGTTCTTTGTGTCTAGCACAAGTTTCATTTTCTTATGAAACCTACATAATATCTGGGAGGGGAACATAATTGCAAACAAGCAATAAAATTACAATGCTGCTTGTTTTGGGGTATATTTCACCCAAAGGAGGTTTTGTCTCCTTTTTGAGTGACACATTAAGCAAAATGCTAACAAAATAGAGAAGTTAAGAAAACACTGAAGCTTTTTAAAGATTACTAATAATACCACATGGTAATTATGCTATAAAGTGCTACATTAATCAGCAAGTAAAAGCTATCAGGTGTTTGAGGCAAGATGGCTCAAGAACCATTGGAATTCTACTTTATTGTTTTAAAATATAATAAAAATTTGAAAGCTGGAGTCTCTTTCACCCCCCACCCTTCCAATAGCAAAGAAAATGAAAGTTGAGCAATCTTCTTTCTCATTCACTTTCTTTTAGTGCTAAGACAATGATTATATAATCTGTCTTTTCCTTTTTTCAGATCATCTAAATAGTAGTCTTAAAATGAAGACATTATACTTTCTACAACACATTAAATTGTTTATGTGACCACAAATATCAGGTCTGAAATACAGGGCTTTAGCAAATGGCAAGTTGATTCATCATTCTAAAATTTAAAGGGTAAAAAGGGTAAAACATTTAAATTCATTCAAGGCTTTCCTCAATGAACCAAAGCCAAGATTAATGAATCTAGTCTTTGGATAAAAATCAGACCTGTGAAAAAGTGATGAGAAAGAACACTCGGGAAGAGGAAGTATAGAACTATTTCCTTTACCTACTGTATACAGTATTCAAGTCCAGCTTTAAAAGTAGCTGCATACAGGGAGGCATCTGGCAAGTATTTCTTCTAGAGCAGAGCTCCTTCAACTGGAAAACAGAGGGTTAAGTGCCCATGATATCCTGCAGCTGCAGCAGCCAAATTAGTCATTTGCTGCCTTAATGGAAACCAATTACTCGGTTTTGATTTTCACTTCCTTCAAATAAAGCAGCCTAGGTCTCCCTGGAAATTACATCCCAGGCCCTGCTGTTACTGCCCCTGCAATTACTCTGCCGACATGCCTGGTCAACCTGCTTAAACTGTGCAGGGGGCAAAGGGTAATTCAATGGCATGCAATCTCTCTTTCGGTCTCTGATGAACCTTCAGAGCAAGAATAGCTTTCTGGCCAGCCAAAAGAATGTCATAAATATCAGGAGGTTTTGCGTATTTTTTTTTTTATCTTAGTTACCAGATGTTGTTTATTGTACTTGAACATCCAATTTTCTGACAACAAGCTGCAGTTTATTAATAGATCAGCCACAGACAAATGTGAAATGAAGAAAATCCAGATAATTACTGATAACAATAAATGTTAAAAGAAAGCCATAAGAAATATTGTTTGCAAATCGAAACAATGGAAGAAAAATAATGAAGTGCTGAAGCATACAGATGTGCTATGAAGTTGATTCTAACAAAAAATAATGGCTATAACGGATTTTATCTGATTTTGAAAATGTATTTTTCTCAGAGAAACGATCCATTTCTCTTTCTCACCTTCATGAAATGTGCATACATATTTTCTACCTAGAGAATACCTTTACAGCTAAACCTTGGTAAAATCAGTTACACAACAGCAAGGCAGTGATTTCTAAACTAACACAAGCCACCAATAAAGGTAAGATGCAATACAGTATAGCAATGTCACTTGCAACTTAAATATCACTCCATAATGTTTTACAGCCCCCTTTGAGCGATTTACAGAGTCAGCATATTCCCTCCAACAATCTGGGTTCTCATTTTACTGACCTTGGAAGGATGGAAGGCTGAGTCAACCTTGAGTCAGTCAGGCTTGAACTCCTGGCTATGGGCAGAGTTAGCCTGTAATGCTGCATCCTAATCCCTGAGCCACCACGGCTCATAACTTCCAAGAAAGGAAGAAGCAACGTCGTGAATATTGGGGACCCACTCCTATCCATTTGCTCAAAAGCAGAGAAGGAATAGAGGGAGCTACTTTACAATAAGTCAGATTCAGGGCTGCAGGCAAAGTAGCAGTGGTAGAGCATGTGATGCATATGGAAGAAGTTCCACCTTCAATCCTTGCCATCTCCAGATAAGCTGAACTTAATGAAACCTTTGTGAGTATTCACAGTCAATACTGTGACACTGGGCCATATGAACCAGTTGCCTGACTCTGACTCAGCATTAGGCCATTTCTGATATTCACAGCAGTGAAAAGGATTTATTATTTACTACAACTTGAAAAAACAATGTAGGCTTTAGAAAACTGTTTTTTAATCAAATGAATAGAAGGCAACAGGACAACTTCCTAGATTGTGGGACAAGTTGGTTTCATCCAGCATAGCAGAGGAAAACTTCTATATGACCCTACTAGAGTACAGATGGCAACTATTAACTCTCACACCTAATTACTTCTATTGTTCTACTTTTGGGAATTTGCCAGTGATAAAAGAAGCCATTGCTAGGATTATGAAATCATATTTTACTGTGATCATTGTACTTATACACCAAAATCCAGATAGCACTGAAAGTCCCAAAGGTGCTTTTTCAAGAGGCAACTGGACTTTTTGGTTTTTCTTTGAAGATGTTCTCATCCAAGAAGCTTCTTCAGCTCTGAAACATACAGAAGGGACAAAAACACCTGTATTCGTTGTTGTTTTGTAAATGTATCCCATTCAGTGAAATAGAGAAAGAAATAAATTTGCAATCTTGGTTGTCTCCTCTTATAATAATTGCAAAACCATGCCTCTGGCTTTTTTAAAAAATGAGGATCGGATTCAAAAGCTACTAAACCGAACGTTTATAGAAGCAGCTTGAAAAGAGAAGCAGGAGAGTTGCTTAACCAGAACACAGCCCTCCTTCTTTTTGCAAGGCTGCTTTCCTTCTCCCCCTTTGCTTCTCTTGCGATTGCAACCACTGGTGCAAGTTGCTGCAGTTCCTGTGTGCCTCCTGGTTAGTCAGTCTTAGAAAAACTGTGCAGGGATTTTTCTGCCTCCGCCTGGCATTACAAAGACCCTACATGCCATTCAAAAAAAAAAAGTCTTCATTACTGGTTCCTCTCTCCTCCCTTTCTAACACCACTCCCTTTTAACACAAGCCAATAAGATTGCTTCTAAGCCCACTAGGCTTTCCCTGTCAGTATTCACGGGCTGCTTGTAAATAGCAGGAGGAGGGAAGTGTTTGCATACATAGAGCTTGGCTGAAAGATTCAAGTAGCAGGAAGGAGTGATGCTGCTCAATATAAACCAGAGAATATGGAAACGGGGTAAGAGCTGCTTTTTTGGCATTTTCATTTGGGATTGCAGAAGGGAAGGGAAAGGCTTCTACCTGAATCTCATTAACGATGGAGCTATACAGGAGTTGCCTAACCAGAGGATGCCGATTCATTAATGGAAACTTTGACTCCAAGGACAGCAGACAGAAATGGCTCTGACTTTATAAAGTTGCAATAAAGTTATCAAAATTGCAGTTTCAAATGGATGTAAAGATAAGTTATCTGTGGAAGAAACAGCTTGGAGGCACATCCTTAAATCTTCTCAAAGATCCTAAAGTAGAATTCAAAGAGATTGGGCTCAAGGGCATATTTATTTTTACCTTTACAGATGCACTGTGCCACTGAAATTATTTGGGGCAAAAACTGAACACAGAGGCTTGCTAAACTGGTACCAAGCCTTAACATGGCATGCTGAACAATAGTTGCATGACTTTGTCATTTGGATGTTGTTGTTTTTCTGCAATGTACACAAACAGTTTTAGAAGACTTTTTAAGTCTCTAAAAGGAGCCCGTCCGATTTCAGCAATCCTTTCAACTGTCAGCTGTTCACATTACAACCATTTCATGAAAGACCATGCTTGATGTGAATTCTATTTTGGTGGTCTGGACTGATCTTGGTGGCAGAAAAGAGTGAATTCCATCATTTCACAATGAGTCTGCTGACATTAACTCTATTTATCCTGGTGAAGCTGTTGGTACTGTTTGGCCTGGGTGTTCAACTTAGCATTTTAAGCAATGCTTCCACTTTCACAAGATGCCCTGAAGTCTGCATCTGTACTGCTGATCTCCTGAGCTGTACCAGGAAAAACCTTCGGCATGTCCCTGTTACACTGCCTCCTACAGCTATCACCTTGGATCTCAGCCACAATGCTATTGTTCGTCTTCATGATTATTGCCTGACCACTTTACCACATCTTGAAACCTTTAGGATTAGCCACAACAAAATAAAAAACATCACTCAACATGTGTTTCGCAATGCTACCTACCTTCTGTATCTGGATATGTCCTCCAACCATCTGCATACTGTGGAAAAATACTACTTTGAAGACCTTGTGAACTTAAAAGAGCTTCTCCTTTACAATAACAAGATAGTGCAAGTAGATGAAAAAGCTTTCATGACATTAATCAATTTGCAAAAGATCTATCTAAGTTGGAATAGGCTAACAAAATTTCCATTTGAGTCTATTCAAAAACTTGAACACCCTTATCTAAGGACGCTTGATCTTTCTGCCAACAACCTAAGCAGCATTCCTATTCAAGTCATAGCAACTTTGCCTACGTACATTAAAAATGGCTTATATTTTCACAACAACCCTGTGAATTGTGACTGCTCTCTCCAGGAGATGCTCCAGGAATGGAAACATCGCGGTTACAGTTCTGTGCGGGATTTCATAGAGGAGCATACTTGTAAAGCCTACCCCAATATGCTCTCCTTAATTAAGACCTTCAATTACAATGAATATTTTAAAATTTGTTCTTGGAACCAAAGGAAATTTGACATTCCAGAAGTGCTGTGCAGAGTGGGAGAATCCTTGGTAATAGACTGTAACACAAGCCTCCATGAAGACAACACCACTACGTACAGGTGGATCTCCCCACGCCATGAATTATTCATGTATCCCGAGCACAGCGATCAGACACATCAACCTTTAAAAAATGGAAGCTTAAAGATCATAAATGCCAACCGGTCGTACTCGGGTGTTTATGAGTGCATAGCAATCAGTGATCTCCAGAAGATCAATGAAACATATGAAGTTAATGTGACAGTCCACTACTCCAAATTAGTGGAATCTTTCAGTACTAGCCTCACAACCCTCCTAGGGTGTATTGTAAGCTTGGTATTAGTGCTGATGTACCTGTACCTTACACCATGTTGTTGTTCTAAGTGCTGCAGGAAGCCTACAAGTCCCCCTCAGGACTGCAGTGCCCAATCCTCTATTCTTAGTACAACTCCATCAGTCACAGATGTAACAAATCGCAAGATCAGTGCAAACAAGCATGTTGTTTTTCTAGAGCCTATCAAGGAGAATCAGAATGGCAAGGTCAAGCTGGCTGTCACTGAAGACTTTGATGTGAACCCCCCCAAGCTCCTGAGACTTAAACTGGACTCAGAATCAATCGGTACAGCTTTTTCTAATCCCGTCATGTCACCAGCAGATGCATAGCAAACCAACTGCAGAAAGCCTTTCTTAGTAGATGGTTGTGATTGGGAGGGGGGGGACCCTGTTTCCATCCTGGGAGGAAGAGAGAAGACAAGATAGATTCATGAAGGATTTCCTCACCACAATCTATAGAGGATTTTTTAAAATGTTCTTTGGATGGAGGATGATGAATCTTACATCTTAAGTTATCTCCCCCACTAATTCCTGTCCAATTGCTCCAGTTCTCTTAGGCATGGAAATGAAAAGCAACTCCTTTTGAGCAAAGAAAGGAATAATTGTTCTCTGCACATCCCAAATGATTGCCGCATGCTTCGTTCTCAAGATAATAGAAGGTTCTAGAAGGTTATCTTCTCCCCTTAGAAAACTGCTGTGGAATATAAACTTGTGTTGTGGCTTTGACTTTTAGAGAACAAAGTTTTTACTATATAACAAGGCTGTTTTCATCTTTGCAGAAGACCCAAGTGCCTCATATAACCACATTGAGACCCTTTCTTACTTGCTCCGAAATTGCTCTACCTAGCCACTGCTTCAAACATTGAACATTTGTGAAAATAGATTCCTGAATCCACTCTTTCTACCATCTGCACTGCTTAAAAGAAGTTAGCATAAAAACAAACTGAAGCAATGTTCCCTTTAGAAAGGAAACAAGCACTGCCCCAGATGACCATACTTGGATATGTGCAGTTAGCCCAGTAAGTAAAATTGATTGAATGCCTAGACTATTTTAATAAATAGCTTTATTTTACTTGAACTAAATATGCTGGCTGAGATTTAAAAGTTCTATGTTCTAAATGTCTGTTTTAATTGCTAATCTGTTTCCAAGTTGCATTCCCTAATGCAACCAGGCAGTATCACAGCTATGATAAACAGATTGGATATGTTTTTTTTTTATCATTTCAGTGGCAAACAAAAATCCATGCCTGAAAATAATAGTTTACCCTTAAAAGGCAAGCGTTCTCATTGGAATTAGAAATACAAAACAATTAGTCAGTCAAAGTTAAAAAAGACACTATTTTAGAGAAAGTGGTGATGCTGATTTCTTTTGTGTACAGTGAGATTACGATTGACACAAATACTGCCCCCGATTGCATACATTTTTATATGAGGTAAGGAATAGATATCTAGCACTGCCACTCAAAGATAGAATGTCCTTTTCATTCATCTGTTGCCATTGAACAGTCATAAAAAATGCATTTGATTTTAGAATAATACATAGGACCCATCTGTGTCACGCTCAAGCTTAATATGTAATGCAAGACGTAGATGAACAAACTTTCCAGCTTCTTTCTCCTTCAGAAGATTTGGTTGAGAAAGTACTATTTTGGTAGCATTTGTAATCCATAATAAGAAAAGGTATGGCAGACTCTTAAATTGCATTTAAATGAAAGTGTCTATTTTTTAAAATAAACATTTACATTTTAAAGTGTCTTTATATCATTATATTGTGGGACAGAGCTGGCTTTATATTATCTGGTCATCTGATAAAGTAAAACTCCCTGCACAATAAGCCAGTTTATCTGATCTCAATTAATATATATATGAATTCTTCTAAAGTCAGTATAAATTTGAAGATACCTTCCAGCCAGCAACTTGTTTATTTCTAGAGAGTTAACAGAAAAATTAGGAGAGGGGAGCTAATAGAGATTCTGAAAGTGGTCAGCTACCATTTTTGTTGACTTAGGACTACTTACTTCCAAATTTGAATCAACTGTTATTTTTCAGGGGAACAAGGCTAAAGCTCAGACTTTTTTCCTAATTCCTCCTATATAATATTGTATATTTTATAATTTGTTTTGTATTTTAAAGCCTTAAAATTGTTAATGTTTACTCATCAAAATCCTTAATTATGTTTTTTCTATCTTTTTTTTTTAATCCAGTAGTGAATCTTATGTATATTCCTGGCTACAGAACCCTGCATGAATAACAATTTATGCCTGGGAAATACCTGAACTTGGGCTGTCTTGAACCTCTACAGGAAAGCCTTTTCAGTGCTGTGGTTTCTAAGGACACTTTATCTGAGCCTTCAAGAATCAAGCTTGAAATATACAGAGAACCACCATCAAAACTGCTTTCAATCAACACACAGTCTTTGCAAGGGGAATAAACTTACATCAGGCCCTATTGCATGGGTTTCTGCAGGGAAAGCAAGAGAGGGGCAAATGATAACATATGTGAGGGGTCCTCTAGGAGCTGAATTGGGTTTTTTTTGCAGATGCTTCATTATTCAAACTAGGTAACATCATCAGTGCTAATAAGGAATGGGATTTTCTCTTCAGTTTATATTTATAGTGGCTCTCCCTGTCAGGGTTGATGGGAGTGGTCTTAGTGGTTCTTTGGTTGGGCTGTTTGCTTGTTTGGCAGTTCCTTAATTTGGGCATTGTTTACTTATTAGTCTGATGTTAACCTTGATGTTAATCTACGCTCCTCTGGATGTTGATTGCTGGTGGGAAGGAATTTTGGTCTTTTTCTTCCCTTTTTGGCTTGTTCACTCTCTCTTTTGCACAGTATATAAATGTTGTTTATATCTATGTGATTATTCATGGCTAATTTGTCAGAGTGCCCGGCTTACAGAAATTCTGTACCATTTTTGGACTTGGCTTGGTCTAGGATAATCAGTTTTCCAGTTGAAACTATGGTTAAGTCTGTCCGTGTGTTGTGAAATTAAAGATTTTTCAATATGTCTTCTGATGATGTTACCTAGTTTGTGCAATGTCTGAAAGAAAACAACCAAGCTCAGAAGGACCCTCATTTTAGCCCTGACGTACAAATATTCTCCTTTATTGATAACATATGTATTATCATTTCTGATGGCACAATTTGTTGTCAGGCATCCTGATGCAAATATATAATTGCAGCATTTATGTGATTACATCAGTACACAGGTGTCATCATTTTGGCATCACAGTTTGCTGTGTACAGTGCTGGCATTACTAATATATGTAGATATATATTAGCCCTTAATAGAACAAAAAAAGTATGTGTGTGGCGGGAGGGGGAAGCTGAGCAGCTGACATCAAAGTTCCCAGATAAAGCACACTCTTTACTGGTTTAGCCTTCTCCTCGAAGTGGGGTGCACTTATGCCCCTTTCAAGAAAGAAAGCACAACACTCCATTTCTTGATCTAGCAGCACTACAGAGAATTATCAAGGTCTTTCTGAATTAGAATAGCCAAGGTCTGTGGTTGTGTGCATTAAAGGAACCTTCTACAAGGGTACCCGAAACAAGGCAACAGATTGTAAAATTCAGTTTGTTTATATTTTATTCGATGTACTTAAGCCTATAGTGCATTGTGGAATTTGAAATTGATTTTTTAAAATGTTGATCCTTTATATATGAAAAAGCAGAACGTGTTTGCTGAAGGATCAAAAACCAGGAAACATAGGTGATCTAAAGTACATAATTTCTATTGCATTTCCAAATATTTATTATTTTATAGGCCATGAGTCATTGCCAAATTATTGAAAATAAAATAATTTGTTTCCAAAACTTAAAAAATGATTTTCAGAATTTATTTATTTATTTATTTATTTATTTATTTATTTTGATTTATATGCCGCCCTTGTCCGGAGACTCAGGGCGGCTTACAATGTGTTAAGCAATAGCCTTCATACTTTTGTATATTTATACAAAGTCAGCTTATTGCCCCCACAATCTGGGTCCTCATTTTACCTACCTTAGAAAGGATGGAAGGCTGAGTCAGCCTTGAGCCTGGTGAGATTTGAACTTGCAGTAATTGCAGACAGCTGGTGTTAATCACAATGCAATCAGTCTGCTGAGCCACCAGGCCACCATTTTGAGGGTAAAGTACACATTACTTCTGTAAAATGCATGCAATTCTGATTATAAAACAGAATTGCAAGCATAAGAAATAAATCTCCAAAAACATGTAATCAGGGAAGAGGTGATGTATTGAAAATTTGCTTAGCTTTCTTCCATGTATATTATCCTATAATGGAAAGGGGGAACCTGTCAGCTTTCAGGTCTTGCTAAGCAATAATTCCCAGGATCCCTCACCATTAGTGATGCTAGATGGAGTCACTGGTCTGGTTAATCTGTAAAATCTGGAGGATCAGAGATTCTTTTTTCCCTGTTCCAATTGTTTAGATATTCTAAATATTCCCAGAAGGGGCTTTCAACTTTATATCTACTTTATTTATTTAACAAATATATAGTCACCCACCTACAATGGGACTTCCTTGGTGATCAAACAATAAAACGTAATGCATCATGAAATCAATTAAAAGAATGAAGTTGACATCATGGCAATAACACTTTACTAAATGTCCCACATATACAGTATACATCACACCCTCCATCCATTAACATCCTAGATCTAGTACCTGCCAGAAAAGTGAGATCTTCATGTCCTTTTGTGAAATATATGATGTTCTGCCTAGCTTCTGTAATTATTCAAACTCTTGGCAAAGTGCAGGATTATGCAAAAGACAAGCCCGATTTCTATCAATCATGTGTTACTGAACCTATGCAGCCACAATGCTTGATTTTAACTGGCTTTGAGTCGCCTGCTTATCTGGCTTTGAGAACACAGCACAGTCAAAGTTCATTGTGATTTTCAGGCCACATAACAAGCATTAAAATACTGGACCTTAGACAGCTAATCACAATAGAATATATTGTATTCAATTCTTAACTCTCCAAACAACTTTACTTTCACACTTTCTTCTCACAATTGATATGTCACAGTGTTGCTGTCAGTTATTTCACTCTGTTTGCTAATCGATGGAATTCATTTATTGAATTTTAATACCCATGGGGTGCTATGGCAAGAAAATAATTATATTATTAAAGTTTATCCTTAGAATTCACTGACTATATTCAAGTCAAAGATGCATTCCCTGGAAAAGAAAGTTTGGCGGCACAAATTTTAGTGGGCTAGCTAGGGATTGTTATTGTATTCCTGGCAGGGAAAATAAAAACTGCAAAGGATTATTACTTAGTTATCTTTTGAAAAAGACTATTGAGTTGAAACTGGGGGAAAAAAAGTAATACCCTCCTCAGGACTTGCAAAGATCTTTCATTCTTTTAAAAAAAATTTTTCAAAAGATCTTGATGAAAAAGAAATAACTTTCCTGAAGTCAAACAGGCTGTGCCTCTTAAGAGAAAAGGAAATGCTGCAGTTTCTCCCCGGCTATTTATTTTCTTTTCTCTGAAACACATTCAAACTCAGTGGGTCAAGCCCTAAAGATATTCTTCTAGGATCCAGAATTATATCTTACTGTGTTTTTATCTTAATTCCTGCTTCTTGAGTCCAGTGACCACCACAAAATTATTTTTTTAAAAAATCTTTTATGTAAAAAGGGAAAAAAGAAAACAAGATTAGAGAAGAAAATTATACATGTGTGTATACATGCGTGCATGCGTGAGTACACAGTAGTCCTCAAGTTATGACAATTGAGCCCAAAATTTATGTTGCTAAGTGAAACATTTGTTAAGTGAGTTTGCCCTATTTTATGACTTTTCTTGCCACAGTTAATTGAATAATTTCATTGTTAAGTTAGTAACATGGTTGTTAAGTGAATCTGGCTTCCCCATTGACTTTACTTGTCAGAAGGTCACAAAAGCTGATCACATGACTCCAGGACATTGCAACTGTCATAAATATGAATCAGTTGTCAAACATCTGAATTTTGATCATGTGACCATAGGGATGCTGCAATGATTGTAAGCGTGAAAACAGTCATAAGTCACCTTTTTCAGTGTGGTTGTAACTTTGAATGATCACTAAATGAACTGTTGCAAGTCGAGGACTAGCTGTATATGTATGTATGTGTGAATGTGTGTATGTGTGTGTATATACACATAAACACACATACATACAGTACCTAACTTTTAAATGCATTATTAAACCCTGACTATATTTAATATTGTTATTCGTTTATTTATTCAATCAATCACTCATTCATTTCTACAGCCATTCATCTCAATCAATGACTCTGGGCAGTTTACCATTAAAATATATATATTACAATTAAAACACTAAAACATTTTAAAATAATAGAAAACAATAAAAGCATCCAAAATAAATATATTTAGCAGCTGAGATACTTGGACAGTCAGTAATACAGCCACAAAATGGGGCCTTTAATACATTGATCAGTCTTTCATTATGCTGATAGACAGTTTGTAAGGAGAAAGCAAACACATACTTGCAATCCAAGACTGTAAATTTGGAGTCACTTTGTCTTTCCCAGATTGAAGTAATATTTTTGCTACCTCCCATGTTCAAGAAATCCATAACCCTATGGTTATAAATTCCAGGGATTGGGTATATAATTCAAAGCTGCCCCTGCCATGATGTCAAAGGGGTCACACAATAACTTTCTAATTGTGTTTATAGTGATTTTTTTTAAACTCATGACATTCATTTAATTGACAAATTGAAGTAAAAATTTGTATCCAACGATAAAACTGGAGGTCAGGAAAATTAAAAACTCAATTATTACATGACAGTTGTTATTTGGATAAAGAAAACTAGAGGTTGTTCTGTTCATTAAAAAAAATCTTAGTATCAATTCTTCATAAAGAAGATATTAGCATATATGCATTTTTATAACATCTTTTCCTATACATTCAGGATTTTAACTATTTCTATTTATCTGAAAATTTAAAAGGTGACACATTTACATCCACTTGAAAGTCTCCTTTAAATAACTACTCCCAGATATTTCAAAGAGCACAAACAATTTTAAAAAACCCACTACTATACTTCTGGGAAAGCAATGGCAATGGAGCCAACAGCGGAGGTGGTGAATGGACTGGTTTCCCAAATTTCTCTCTGGACAAGGAGAGGACATGGACAACAGTCCCCAGCAGATTTAATGCTCTGGAAGCTGAGGGATCCCTATCTTTGCCCAAGCTGCTGTACAGTGCCTTCAAAAGGATACTGGGTCCATATATTTCCTTTCTTAGCACCGTTGGAAGTTGCTTTAATAACTGCTGTTTGTCTATTAAGAAACTTCAGAACGACAAATTTCATACACAGGTGAGTCCCCTTTAATCATGGTTAAATATGCAAGTTTTATGCAAGTTAAACTATTTTGGAATAAACAGCAAAAGGGTGATTAGAACATTGATTTTGGAAAGTTATAAATGAACTAAGTGGCAAGATGGATTTAAAATAAGATTTTGAGATTAATTACAAGAATCTTTCCTGTGGGAAAATATTGTTGTTTCAAATTTTATTTTTAGTTTTTCCCATGGGAAAATTCTGATGACCAGGAAAAAACATGGGATTTACCGTATTTTCCAGTGTATAAGATGACTTTTTAATACATGAAAATCTTCTCAAAAGTTGGGGGTTGTCTTATATGCCGGGTGTCATTCTCCTGTAACCAGGCAGACCAGCCCGAAAGGCTCTGGTGATCCAAGCTCTGACGATCCCAGCTTTGCCTGCTAATCAGGCAACTCAGCTGGGATCGCCAGAGCCATGTAAAAGGAAAAAACTTTTTCCTTTTACATGGCTCGGGCGATCCAAGCTCTGACGATCCCAGCTGAGTTGCCTGCTAATCAGGCAACGCAGCTGGGATCGCCCGAGCCATGTAAAAGGAAAAAAGTTTTCCCCCTCCAGCTTGCTTACTTTAGCTGCTAGGCGCAATGCTTGCCTTGCTTCGCTTGCCTGAATCCATTCCATCAGCAAGCCACTCCCTGCCTGCAATCAAGC